TATCTATACCGCATGTCACTTTCCTTTCTCTGTTTTCCTTTTAAAGTGTTTTGGCAGCTCTGCAGTGTTTTTCTCTCATGTTCCACAGTAACTCCTCTCACAGAAACGCTGCTGGCGCCATCAGGATTCCATTCACTGTGCCACCTGCAGGCCGTCAGAAGAAGAGCAGTCAATAAAGTCAATTAAGTGAAAGTGAGGAGGGGAGGGAGGGGGTGAACAAGCACTCTTGACTAAAAATCCAGCCTTAAAAGCGTGCATCATTTGCACTTAATCTAACCCGTTATGACATGCAAGCGAGAAGTGTCGTGAGCTTGGAATGATTGGAGGCTATCATTCAGTAATGATAATTCACTTGACAGTCTCTGCACACAGATGCACAAATAAAGAGCATATTTACCCCCCTGTTATCTTTCTCATAAACAACTGAAAGCAGTGCATGAGAAATGGCTCAGTTACAGTACATGTATTCAAATGAAGCGATAGAGAACACAAGTGTGTGTGGAGTAAGCTCTGTGAATGCGCAGGACTCTGGATATGAATGAATCATTGTGAAATAAGCGAGCAGTAGTCGAGCACTGGGCTGCGTTCAGTCCTGTGTGATTTCCAGCTCACCCACAGTCTCTACATTATTAAAAGCGCATTAGTGGCGTAATGGCTGAGAGATGCGTCTCAAGTCCTGCTTTAGGCTCAAGCTGAGGGAGGTCGCGTGAAGAAAACAGCCAGAGTTTCAAGAATGGAATACTAGAATAATGCTTACTGCATACTATACTGCATACTTTACTCCATACTTACTGCATACTATACTGCATACTATACTGGATACTATACTGCATATGCTGCATACTTTACTGCATACTTTACTGCATATGCTACATATGCTGCATACTATACTGGATACTATACTGCATACTGCCTACTGGTTCAAAGAAGGAACAGTTTGTAATATGCAGTTTTCAAATAATAGTTGCATGGTATATTGTTGTCACATCAACTTTTTTTAAAAAGAAATGTCCAGTTTTGTCTTAGTATGTGTGATACAACTTACATAAATTTTACTTTTTTAGGGTTATATATATATATATATATGTAATTATAAACCAATGTAAATGATTTAAATTATATTTGTATTAAATATATTTAATATGTAAAATTGATTTAATATTTATTTTGGGTTATTTTAAATGAAAACATTTTTTATTCAAATTGTATTTAAATTTATAGTTATTTTTATTAAAATGTAATATAATAATATAGCTTTTATTTTGGATTATTTTAGGTCTATTTATGGTTATTCTTAAACCATTTAGAAAAAAAAATCCAATAAAAGGTACTTTAGTTTCCCATAGTTTGTATTTAAAATCATAATAAATATTATTAATTCAGTATAATTCATTAATCTCATTATATAATTAATAATAGTAATTATTATACTACTAGTAGTAGTAATAAATATTAAATAAATACATTATTATTATATAGTTTTTGTGTCTATTTATGTTGTTTCTTTTTAAAACTGAAAGTAGAATAAAAATGAAGTCCCAAAAAGGGATGCAGGCAATAAAAATGCAGTACTTGTTTAGGCATACTACTTCACATTTTGGCAATTTTTTTATAGAGTTATGCAGTATTCGATTCGTAAAGAAAATTCACACACACACACACACACACACACTGTGCACAGCATGCATACTGCAGAAGTAGTAGAAGGGTTGTTCCGAATCCAAACATCACTAGAGAGATGGAGAAAGAGAGAGAGCTCTTTGCTGCTAGCGGGACTGCCGGCTGCAGCTCGTTCATGCAATATTAAAGCACTGCTGCATCATGCGCCTTATTATGAGGATTGCCTCATCTGTCACTTAGTCCTCTGAGAGCTGCGCCATTCTGTCACGAATAGTTGTCCTCCATTCAGCCCTTTCGCTTAGAAAATGGAGAGCTCGGTTATTAATGGCAGATTATTGTCTGTCCTCGCTACAATGACGTCTGAATAAAGAGAAATCTCATTAACACGGCCCGTTAGTGTCGGTCCCTAGAGAAATCCTCTCTAGCGAGCGCCGCTTTTGTATCAGGGAAGATAAATATTTGTGAAGATGCTGTTAAAACCAATTTTAGGTGCTGTTTTGTGTTTGCGAATATCTTTCCCTTGCTTTTAAATGGAGGGCAAGTACAGTAATAGTTCAATAAAGGCTGATCTGAGTGACGGCGCTGGCTGCGGTCAGATGGAAAGCCTTTGAAATGCCTTGGAAAATCTCTCCTTAACCCATTCTCCTGTGTTTTATGAATAGTTGAATGATTTTGACAGGGTGGATCTACGTCAGGATCTGTTATTAATATAGCAGCTGAATGCCTTTACTGCCGTTTATTTCATATCAAAACTGATACATCGTTAAGAAAAGGTTCTATACGGAATATTAAAGGGTTCCTGTTTTTTATAATTGTTCATGTCTCGTGGTTTCAATATACAGCCTTGTAGTTGTAATGCCAAACCAAATGAAAAGAACTTGCTCAAAGGAGCAGTTTGTTTGTGAATCATCTTTATTATTTATGTATGAATAGAAACAGGATTGTGCTCTTAAGAGCCTGTGAAAGGACTTCTTTACTAGCAAATGATCACAGTAATGAATGAATGCATGATGGCAATGTCATGAATGACAGCCGTTGGTCTCCTAAAACCTCGGTTGAGGACACGGCTCGGCCAAAGAGCCTTTACGTAACATTATGTAACCCGGCCGAGATTCCTCTGATTGACACTGAGTTAACGACAGAACCATTTACAGCCTGTCATAATATCATACTGTTATGTGAAAGACAGAAAGAAAACTTGCAAAAAGTACAGTGTCGGTATCATGGTACTGAATGACTGTCATATTCACGTATTGTGGTATTTACTTCATATGCACAAAGAAGAGAGATTCGTTTTAAAGTTTATTTTAAATTTTGTCTTGTTGGTCTCCTACAACACGTTTACATGCAGAAGAAGGCCGGTCAGATGACCCAGTCTGTTGTGATTGGTCAGATGACCCAGTCTGTTGTGATTGGTCTACTCTGCTCTGATTGGTCAGATGACCCAGTCTGTTGTGATTGGTCTACTCTGCTCTGATTGGTCAGATGACCCAGTCTGTTGTGATTGGTCTACTCTGCTCTGATTGGTCAGATGGCTCAGTCTGTTGTGATTGGTCGACTCTGCTCTGATTGGTCAGATGACCCAGTCTGTTGTGATTGGTCTGCTCTGCTCTGATTGGTCAGATGGCTCAGTCTGTTGTGATTGGTCTACTCTGCTCTGATTGGTCAGATAGCTCAGTCTGTTGTGATTGGTCGACTCTGCTCTGATTGGTCAGATGACCCAGTCTGTTGTGATTGGTTTACTCTGCTCTGATTGGTCAGATGACCCAGTCTGTTGTGATTGGTTTACTCTGCTCTGATTGGTCAGATGACCCAGTCTGTTGTGATTGGTCTACTCTGCTCTGATTGGTCAGATGACCCAGTCTGTTGTGATTGGTTTACTCTGCTCTGATTGGTCAGATGACCCAGTCTGTTGTGATTGGTTTACTCTGCTCTGATTGGTCAGATGACCCAGTCTGTTGTGATTGGTTTACTCTGCTCTGATTGGTCAGATGACCCAGTCTGTTGTGATTGCTCTAGTCCGCTCTGATTGGTCAGATGGCCCAGTCTGTTGTGATTGGTCTAGTCTGCTCTGATTGGTCAGATGACCCAGTCTGTTGTGATTGGTCTAGTCTGCTCTGATTGGTCAGATGACCCAGTCTGTTGTGGTTGGTCTAGTCTGCTCTGATTGGTCAGATGACCCACTCTGTTGTGATTGGTCTAGTCCGCTCTGATTGGTCAGATGACCCGCTCTATTGTGATTGGTCTACTCTCCTCTGATTGGGCAAAGATTGATTGAGGGTCAAAGTAGACATTATTCATGGGCAGCCAATGAAGACATAGACTGGCATCATGCATATTAGTTACAAACCCTATGGGTTCAAGCAGGAAGACTGTTCAGTTTCAGCAGTTCAGAATCAGTTCTGTCATTTGGGAGACAAAAACTCCATTTATCTGTACATCTGTATCTTTTACATTCATAAACCACAACTGTATATGACACACTACATGTCAGAATATGGAAACGGCATAATAGGGACTGCAAAATATATTCCGTCGCTGACAGAATATGTCAAATGTGAACTATTTTTGAGTTTTCCATGACCTTTTCGCCCATCGTTGGAAAGTCTATTTGTAGTTATTAGGACGTCCTCCAGCTGTGAATACTCCTGTAGTTCTGCTATGTCGTGGTGTTTACATGCAGTGCCAGGTCACATCGTGTACCAGGGAGCTGGCGGGATTGAGGGTGGCCGGAGCAAGTACCCTGATTTACAGCCTGTCTCGCTGTATACAATAAACCCAGCCAGAATGCCATTTGTTTGGCTTCCCCTCCACTCAAACCAAAGGAAAATATTCATCCAAATAGCTGCATTTTATTTATAAAAGTCTAGTTTCCCAGGCTTGAGTCCTGAGGCTATTGAGAGGGCGTCCCTCGCTCCCCTGCTTTCCGTCCTCTGGTGTTTCTATTCAATTGTGGGCAACACTTTTTTGCGACTCGAGTCAACGAGGCCTGTTTTTTGCCGCCTGCGGAAACCTCCTACTGTCTGTTAATTAGAGTGTGTAAAGTTTACAGCCTTTGAGGAGCTGTTAAGAGGCGAAGAGCACAGAGTAAAGGCAGCCTGACTGTGAAATTGAATTATGAGCGTGTGTCACTGAACAAAATGGAAAGTGTGCGAGAGGGAGGGGGGAGAGAGAGAGAGAGAGAGGCATCCCTGGAGGCCCTGATCTCTCTCTCATTCTCTCTCCCTCGCTCTTTCTCTTTCTCTCTCTGTGTGCTGTATTTTTAGTGAGCGAGGTAGAGCGTGTAGCCTCACTAGATGCTGAATAGTGAATGGTGAATGGAATATGTGCTGCATCGTTCTGTGTGTGTGACTCAAAACATCCTGTGTGTCTGTCCACAGATGCTCCCACAGCAAGAATGGGACCACAAAAGAGGTGCCCGAGGATCTCAGGTCAGTGTGTGTGTGTGTGTGTGTGTGTGTGGAAGGATCTGAACCTGATGAAACCTGTAAGAACATCTCTGAGCTACACTTCACTGCAAAATCAGAGTTATAGAAAATTATTTTTACTTAAAGAAAATAAAGTCATTAAGGTTTTATTTGCCTTGCGACACTATTTTCAAAACAATTAAGCATACTTTTTTGCGTTCTTCCTCGTTAGTTTAATTTGAAAAGTTATTTGTTCATCATAGTAATACCTTTTAGTCTCACTTATTTAAGTTAATAAAAAAATGAAAATTGTATTGAAAGCATGTTGCTTAAAGTAAATCACGAGCATATTACAAAGCTCTTTAATGAAAATCGGAGGTTAATTTGTGCTTAATTGTCATGAAAACAATGTGACGCTTTTTTGTGTGCAAAATATCGGTTCTAATCTTGTGATTTGGTGGTGAAATGTGAGTTATGAGTTGTCTGTTTTGTTGCTAGATCTCTGATTAATCATTATGACCGCAGTGTAAATGAATATGTGAGGTGGTGACCCCTATCTGACCTCCTGGTTGTAACCCGGGATATGATGTCTTTTAAACATCATCAGTGACGACTTTACACTTGGCAAGAAGAGAGTCTGTCCTGTTCCTGCAGTTCCTTTTGAACTTTGCAACTTTGTGATTTGCTTGTGTAATTGAAAGGAGTACATGCTTCCCCATTAAAGTATGTTTTCCCAGCAAAATGATGTCACTTCATGGAGGATGATGTACAAGGATAAAAGGTACATCAATGGTCAATCTATATTTGGCGGCTCATGAATGTCCTTTTGTTTTGAGTTACCAAAATATGTAATGGATAATATTTTATCTTATAGATTAAGACATTTGTTGACATATGACCCAGAATGATTATTTTGGATGTGTGTTTGTGTTTTAGATTTACTGAGTTTGTGCTTTTACACTTTTTTTACATTTTATTCAGGAAGTCCCTAGTGTGTGTGTGTGTGCGCGCACATATGCTAATGTGTTTGCACATTTTATCTAGTTCTCTTCACGGCTGGGTGAGAGCAGGGAGTAGTGTTGACGTCTTTACTGACGTGTTTCTGTACTCTGTGCCCCTGCGTTTGTCCCTTGGTGTTTCTTTCATTCCCAGTAGTGTAACCTCCACCTATTTATGCCTTTGCCTCTGACAGAAAGGAAACTCGTTTTTTCTTTCTGTCGGGTCACTCGAGACGTTGGCATCGGGGCCTTGCGGTGCAGCCCATCAGAGGACGGTGATTTCATCCGGGGTCGCGTGTGAACGGAGGTCTGTTGTTTGCATCAAAAGCTGCTGTGATAAACCTACACAGCCAGAGATGCTGATAGAGACATATAATACACATCAGGGCTTACATGAGCTTAGAAAACAGTTGTCAGTCAGCATGTCTTACAACAGAGCTGTCAGAGCGTGTTGGGCCAACCTCCCACAATGCACTGGGCCTTGAGACAACCGTAAGGCTGCGAGCTGATAGCAGGAACAATCCACATGAGGAAAGAACACTTGTGTGTGTAATCATTGTTCTTTGTGAGTGATTTGCAATTTGTGTGTGTGTGTGTGTGTGTGTATGAGAGAGAGAGAGAGAAACACATCCCCATTCATGTACTTATGCGCCGTTTTGTAGTATAAATTGTGGTAGTGGTTTGTTCACACTGAAATTTAAAAAAAGAAAAAGTGCACTTTATGGTGGAGGGGGAGGAGCTAACAGACTCTGATGTTGAGGGGGAGGAGCTAAGAGACTCTGATGTTTAGGGGAGGGGCTAACAGACTGATGTTGAGGGGGGCTAACAGACTCTAATGTTGAGGGGGAGGAGCTAACAGACTCTGATGTTGAGGGGAGGAGCTAAGAGACTGCTGTTTAGGGGAGGGGCTAACAGACTCTGATGTTGAGGGGAGGAGCTAAGAGACTGATGTTTAGGGGAGGGGCTAACAGGCTGATGTTGAGGGGGGCTAACAGACTCTAATGTTGAGGGGAGGGGCTAACAGACTGATGTTGAGGGGGAGGAGCTAACAGAATCTGCTGTTTAGGGGGAGGGGCTAACAGACTGATGTTGAGGGGGAGGAGCTAACAGGCTCTGATGCTGAATGACAAAATAACTGTATAAAATGATTTTACTCTACGGTTTAGCACATAGTGTCTAGTTATTATAAGTAGTAGTTGACCTAAATGTCATCATGAAGTGGTAATATCTATCATCTTTTCTTGCCTACTCCCTAGTGAAACGGCTTCTCGAGCAAGAACAAATTAGGCCGGGGCTTGATTTTGTCCATGGGGAATTGATTCGATGGTTGAGGTTTGCTATTGGCTGATCTCATGTGAGTGACAGGTTGCCCCGCCTTGGTCATCAGAGAAGAGATGATCATGATGATATTGTTTAAAATATAGCATGTGGGAACTCTGAGAATGCAAAATGTTCTTTACACGCCTGTCTGTGGTGCAACAATCAAGCTTGAATAACTAGTGTCTGCGTTTCAGGGCTTAGTGGCAAATATGAGTGTGTGTGTGTGTGTGTGTGTTCAGTGTCTAAGCCGTCTTATCTGAAGGATATCCTCCCCCTGAGGATCGATGCTGCTCTTTCTGCTTCACAGTCATATTCAGGCACACATGGTGTTCATACATATTTGTGTGTGTGTGTGTGTGCGCGCTAACAGCTTGCTCTCTTTTCTAATTACCGAGTGGTTTTATCATTTGTCAATTAAGGGACGTGGTTTTCTTTTGTCTCTGTATCTTATTTGCTGCATGAAACACTGATTAGCACTTCAAAGTTCTCGTTCACCCACAGCATTTCAAAGTGCAGTCGTTCGTGTGTGTGATTTCTCCCTGTTTTCCTCTTATTGATCTGTGGAAAGCAGCCATCTCCAGTTTACAATACCTTATAAAGGTGTGGAGTAGTGCAAACACGGCTGATATCTGAACTTGTGACATTGATGAGAGGAGAGAAAGTGAAGAAGTGTGAGTGTGGTCCTCAGGAGACATTGCTCTTCCTCAAACCTTCCCAGGGTGCACTGGGTCTCCCAAGTGTTGGTGTTAGTGCTCAACTACCTTCACACTCATTAGTAGCCACCACATTGCATCACTGCTCATTTGCATGAACAAACTTTTCTCACAAATGAACGTATTTTGACGCAATCAAAAAAAAAAGAAAGAAAGAAAATCTTGGTATTATATTAGGAGTAAATAAGTTTTACTTCTTCCTACTCCTTTTTGCACATGTAAATAGAGGGTTGTTTTTTTTTTTTTCTTCTTCAAGTATTGGAAAGTTTGGATTTTTTTTTACCTTGTTGTTCATTTTTGTTTTGTTTCTTTTAATGAATATTCCTTGTTTCATTGATTAATAATTGTATTTTTATTTATTATTTACATGTTCAAAATAAAGATCTCAAATCAAATATTATATTATATTATATTATATTATATTATATTATATTATATTATATTATATTATATTATATATTAGTTTTATTATAGCCCTATTTTTGGGACAAAAATTACATTCTGCCTACATCTGTTTCATAACACAACTTTTTTTTTTTTTTTTTTTTTGGAAACGGCATAATTCCAATATTTATATTTGTGATATTTCAAAGCTGTGATACTATTATTCTTAAATATGAAAGATATTCAGAATTAAAAGGGGTAGATGTGTTCAAATTGTTGACTATGTAGTGCACTTTAAAAAAAGGATATATATAATTGTATATAAATAGAAATATCATTGATATGCATATTTATTTTATTTAAATTTTTAGTAATCTTGTTTTGTGTTGTTTTTATATTTTAAAAAAGCGTGTCTTTATTAGTTTTAGTTTTTTAAGTTTTAATGTCTATTTAGTTTTTAGTATTTGTTTACTTAGTTTAAGTTATTTTATATATTCAACTTAATTTAAATGAAGGTTTTGTAGCTGATATTTTTTATATTTTATATATATATATATATATATATGTGTGTGTGTGTGTGTGTGTGTGTGTGTGTTTTTTATAGTTTTACAATATCAAAACCGTCGTACAGATATTTGATTTTTTTTTTTGTTTTTGTTTTTTTGTTTTTTTTTGTAATGAAATGTTTATTTCAAGCTTTTCTTCTCTCTCATAATCCAAAGGGATCCTCAGGGTCTCTTTGTTTTCTTAGGCATCACAAGGATGTATTTTACTGTCATCTTTTCCTGTGAATCACGGCGTGTGTGTGTGTGTGTGTGGAGAAGGAGATTTGTGGCGTGTCAGGGAAGAACAGAGGTTGTGTAAATCACTAGTCCACTTATGGATATATCTTCATCTCGATCACCTTCCCAGCCAACTCCCCTCATACAACAACCGGGGTTGGCGTGTGTATTAGCTACGATGACAAAAAATCAAGTTTTTTACATTTGAACGGAGAGAAGAAAAAATGGAACAAGATCAAATACAACATTTTGGTTCAAAGCTGGAAGCTCATTGGATTCAGATCATTACCTTCGGTAACATTGAGTCAAGAATAAAGACGTCCGCATCCAACATCACCGCAGTCAGACGTCACAGAACTAGAGTTGAGCTCCTGGAATTTGTGGGACGCCACACCAAGAATCTCAAGTAACCCCATATAAAAACCACCTCATTTTTCAACAGTGCCCAATTGACGTGGTTTGTAGTGTAGTTAGGGCAGTCCATGCACCAAACAGAGCTTTATAAACACTCGGCTCTTGCACATGCTGAGAGTGTCAGAGCGATGTGATTCCTCCAATTCAGTATTGTGGAGTGAAGAAGCCTTTAAATGCTGGATCTAAGAGCTCTTTCCACAAGCAGCCATTAACATTCCTGTGCTGTGAGGTCCTCAGGCTGCTCAGTTCATTCACAATTTAGTCGTGCTGTAATTTTTATGATGCCGTTGTGACACGTTGGCTGTTGAAACTGGCGTCGTGGGGTGAGAGCAATGCCGAAACACAGTCGGTGTGGTGCTAAAGAGCTACGACTGTATGTCACACTTGTTTTGTGTCACTTCTCATGTTTAAAA